ACAAATTTCAGACTGTTTATACATCAAAAATTTTAACTGGGACTTCTGTTAGACACTGTGCTTTTAACTATTGCTATTAAAAGGTGCTGCTTTGCTACAGTTCTGGTCCTCTGGAAATAATTCATAAGTTTATCAATTGTAGGTTAGTGTTCCAAAAATCAAACGAAAGCCAGCCAGTCAGAAGAAAGGAGAGTGTGGTTTCTCATCCCCAGAGCCTGATAACCAGGATTCCTCTGGGAGTGAAGGTAGGAAAAGATACCTTTTCATACAGAAATAATAAACTTATTTGACAGTGAAACAGAGTTCTGTAGTCACACACTCTTCATATTTTGATGTTTGTATTATGAAGTAATGCATGCCTTAGATCACAGTTCTATCCAATGGGAAGCACGTTCTGGAAAAACAAAAGGAGCAAAATGGCTCATGGTTTTAATTGCAAACTTCATCGTCCTTTTAAACATCACTAAGTAGCGTCATAGGCTTAAGCAATGCACATATTTATTATGGGGGAAAAAATGTTTGTAAACTCTTTTCTTTCTTAAAACAAGTTGAATGGTTCTAATTTGTCGGTCATTATGTTGCTAGAAGGCAGATTTTCGCTGTTGATAGCGCTTGCAGAAATTAAACAGTACAGTGTTTTAAGATATGTCAAGTGTTTAACTTGCTATCCTATGCTATAGGTGACTGAAATAAAGCTTTAGTTTTCAATAGAAGCTTAGTTAAAAAATTCTCCCTTCATTTTTGGAACTGGTTTAGTTTGTCATTAGTACTTTGTTCCTTTTTTGACTTAGCAGTCACTTCTGTGATTTACATCCGGCTTTTGTATATTTTTAGCTCAACTTCTGAAACATAATACAAGAATAAGGAAAAAGGGGGCAGACCTTGGTGAACTGCAGAGTGCCATTGAATCTATAAAGGAAACACAAGAAGACATTAAGAGGTAGTACTAAACAAAATGCTTTAAGAGGGTTTAGAGAATACTAATTTTCTAGGTTTTTTTCCCTTGGAGGCTGGTATGTATTTTTCTGCTATAGAGCCTTAATTGTTTTAAACTATCCTTCTTCCCAAATGTTGATTGCTTATTGATGTTTCAGAATTTTGCTAAAAAACTGTCTTCTGTAGGGAGCCCTGACATGCTAGAAAATGCCAATTGTCTAGATTGTAATTTAAGTATATTATTTTCTATTTTACAGGGACATTATGGCTCTACGAAATAGAGTCACATCTAATTCACCACCCATGGACTACCATTTCTTGCAGTTTAAGCACTATGTCTTCATTTTACTCGTGGTTCTGCTACAGCTTATCATTAATTTCTTGTTCAAATAGGAAGTGTGAACAAGGGCCTTTCTGAGCTGGAATGATCGAACCATTACTGGGAACCATAAGTTGGACTTTAAATGATGCAATATTATCTAGAAGAGCCCTGTAGCAACAACTTAGAGAACTTTGCCTCAATGTCCATGGTTCAGAATCATGTTCCTATCTACCCAGTTGAAGTAAGAATTGTGTAAGTGCCAGTACACTCTTGCTCCTGGTGTGTGCCTCTGTCTCGCAGACATACAACATCAGCCTTGTGTTTATTGCGTCATACACTGTACTGATGAATCTTCACCACAGAATAGATGAAGTTACAAATTCAGAGGTTAGACCCTGTAGGTTGGATGTGATTCCTGTTGTGGTAGAACGATAAACAAGCATACTTTGTTACATTTAAACTTAAGATTTTTGTAACAAAGGAACTTTTGAAGTAGCCAACAGTTTTTGTAAATGGCATTGGGTGTTTGGAAGTAAACTTCTGCTTAAAGTCAAACAAATACATTATTATACAAAAATCATGAGTGGTAGGAACCGGCAGGTAAAAAGATTAAGTCTTTGGGAATTCTGCAATGTAATGTCCTTGATTTGTTTTGGAAGTACTAGTTTTTATCCTGAATTACTATAGTGGCTTGTAAGCCAGCTTTTATTTTTATAGTTTTAAAACTTCGGATTCTTCATAAAAACATTCCTGCATCTACTGTACAGAGCACATTTTTAACAGTACATCACCCGGGAAGGTACTGTCTTGGTCCGCACTCTCTCATGAATTACAAATGTCAAGGATTTACGGTATATTTGTAAGTCTTGATAAATCTACAGCTTTGAATTTACATTTGTGTAGGGCCATGTCACAGTAAGAAGACAGGCTGCTGATGCTAGGACTCTTATTTTTGAAACAACATGTGAAGATGCAAAGGTGTTCTTAGTATGTAGCTGGAGTTGAACCTCCCAAAAGGCAGATGCTGTAGAATTCAGGCACCATCATGAGTTTACTTGCAAATGAAACATGTGTGATTACAAGGGGGAGGTCTTCAGAAATTGTGGGATGGCTTACACCACACATATCAGAGCAAATGAGAATGAAACCCTAAGTCTTTGTTAAATTCCTCCTTACTGCTGTATATACTACCTAACAGAACACACAGATGCACCTGTTCACTATGCAGTAGCCATACAAATTCATGTGAAGCTTAAGTTTCCATTTAAAACTGGGGTTTCTAACATTTTTTTTATTTGAAGAAATATGTGCATGTATAGAAATTGTAAAATTCCAGCAAAAAAATGTAGTGCCAGTGTTTATCTGGTGAATTCCATATGCCAGTCAAGCGTAGCAAGTCAAAAAGGGCTGTAGTATTGCAAAGGTACTCTCAGTAACCCACATGAGACAACAGGAGGATGAGCAGCACAATGCGAAGGGCAGCCAAGTTTGTTTGCAAAGGATTCTCTCAGAAATCAAATCCATCCCGGGCAGTGGAACAGTTCAAAGGTCACATTTGGCTTGTTGCCATGGCCCAGTTATCCCTCTGCCTTGGGCAGCCTCCCTGACTCTCCAGGTGATCTACCTTTCTGTTCTGCATCAGTCTCACCAGTGTTTAGTGAAAGCACTATTTACTTGTTTATCAGTCTAGCTCTTATATTCCTGTGGCTGACACCTTCACACATCTTCCCTTCTCTTTTACCTTTCCCCTTCTCTAGGCCTAGCCTATGTAAAAGTTTACTGCTTAAGCAGTTAACTTCAGCTTATTTCTTACAGCTACATATTTAGCATAGTTTGGTCTTGAATCATTTTCTGTGTCTGTGGGCAAGACCCAACTTGATTGGACTTCTATTATATCTGTAGCTGATGAGGTAAAATATGTGAATGTAAAAAATCCCTCTGTAAGAAAAGAAAAGAAGAAATCCATAAATTAAGTCTCTGAACAGAAGCTGAAGTTGTTAGCCATGTATAAAATGGCATAAAGCAAGCAGAATAATACAGCATTACTTTAATGTTCTCAGACCAGAATTTGGCCATTCATTACTGCGTTCAGGTGTCAAAGCTTCACCTTCCTTAAGATCTGTTACAATCCTTTAAACAGTCTGTACATGAGAGTAGTACAAGAGAAAATGAGTGAAAATTTGGGCAATAACATCAATCCCCTAAAATAATACTCTGCTAAATTTGTGGTGCTGAAACTCTTGACTGATAGTTACAAGCTTTTATCACCCTTGTAAATAGAAATGTCCTTCTGCTCTTTCATGTTGAATTTTTTAATTGCTTCTGTTCAAGATCAGTTAACAACACAGTCTGCACGTATTTTGACATGGACCGTGTGGTCTTAAGTGTGGATTTGATCCATCCATCTGGCTGGTGGCGTGGTGTGGGACACAGACTAACACATACTTCCTATCTGAAATTCATGCTCAGCTCAAGATAACACTCGAACAGAGCGAGACAAGTGCCTGTGCTTATTTTCAACTTATTTTTTTAGAGTTTGTGTTACAAAAGTGGTTTTAGTGATGGTCCAGGAAGGTAAAGGATGTATATGACAGAACTTTTTGAAAAGTAAAATTGCAGACTTCTGCTTGACTGTATTTGATAACTTCGGTTCCAAAAAGTACATCGAAAACCTAGTAATTCCTACTTTGATGGATTTTGTACAATGTTCCCTCATAGGAATAGAACAAAGGAACTTCTTGCCTGAATTTTACAGTACAGCTGGTCACAGGAGTGTATGAAGCCTTTTCTTTAGCACAGCACCATTGTTCTGTTTAACCATGATGTGTAGCTGATCTTGGATATTATAAATTTAAGACTGAGTTCTGCACATACTTACAAAATTTGGCTGTGCAGTTTGCAGACGTTTTAGAGCTGTGGCCTCCTACTAGTTTTTAAAGTTGAGAACAGCACTTGTTTTAACATTTGATTTACGAATCCTTTGGGTTTTTTCTTATACAGGAAATACTTTCGGATTTTGTTACTATGTGGCTTTGTTGTTTTGTTTTTTCAAATGCACTCTTAAGCCTTTAATTTGCCATTTAGGTACAGATTGCCTAGTTCGGTAGAGATTACCTAAGGTAAGAAAAAGTAAATAATGCCCTGTGAAATGTAGCAAGTATCAGTTTCAACCCTAGATGATGTTTCTTGCATTTCACATGTTAATTCCTTTTAAATAGTTGACATTACTTAATGAGGGTAGGGCCTAATTGTTTCCTCCTCCCATTAAATCTCATAAACTACTTGAAAGGTTGTCCCATAAAATGTCCTGATGGTGGTTTCTTCCCTTTTTTTGTTTGTTTGCTGCCCTCCCGTGCCTTTGGGAAATTTTTCTTTTGCTTATGTTTATGAAACGGACTTTGGCTTCAGTGTTTCATGTAGTTTCTTAACAGCTCTTAATTCTCCACTGTTTGTGTAAATAACATATAACAAGGATTCTGTACATCTCAAGTTTTAATTATTATTTCAAGGGTATCCTCAAATCACCGGAAATTCAGCAGGTATTCAAGTATTGTAAACAGTGCCTTCTTGATGGGTTTCTTGCTGTTCTGAGACGTGTAAAGATTTGTCAAGTTTGTGCCATATGTAACGTCTGACCTTTTGTGAGGGGCTTTCTGTTTGAAAACTAACTTTCCTGCTTAGTCAGACTCCGG